CTGTACATCCGCTGTGCAATAGATAAATAAATAAATAAATAAATAAAACCTTTAGATGTAAGCTTACCATCCGTCAAGCTGGTCTGTTTAATGGTTCGCTCAGAAGCCAAACGAAACGATGGCCGAATGCAATCATTCCTGGAATTAATCCTACGGAAAACATCGCAGTTTAGATAATGGAGTGCGAATGGAAGTTTACTTGATGGAATATTTGCCAAATTATCGTTTAGTTCAAAATCACAAGAAAGCTACACTTCTTGAATTAGAGATATTATAACAAAAACCCCCACGAACTTAAACAAATCGAACACGGAGGCAAAAGGCACGGAAAGGGACTTGGGACAACAATTTTCGATCATTTCAGCAATGCCTGGCATAAATTGCATGTCAAGACCGTTTCGTTTTGTCCTCAAAAATGGGAACAGAACACATACATATACAACATAGAGACTTCATTATCAAGCAGTGTACAACACATCTTTGCATTTATCATACTCTGAGGGTTTCAACGAGAAAGACAGAAATACGTGGATAATCGCCAACGCAAACGTTTCAAGACGTTGTCAATTCTGACAAAACCCTAAATACCCTCATGTCTAATATCATCATAGGAGTGCTGGGTACTCTCTATTCACTTTAAAAAAAACGCCAACACACCTTCTGCTTCAACTCATGAAAAAAAAGCTCTCTAGAACAATAATAATCGAGTATAATACGGAATAATTATATCTCTACTTCACAAACGAGTATAAATGAAATGGTTACTGCTAAAGTACTAAATACTACCAAGAATAAACTAGAACGTTCTCAAAACAGTAATAGCGGTCATAAGTCAAACAACTTCATCTTCTTTCAAGATAGAAGCTAGTGTAATTTGTTAGAAACACAATGTATTGAATACTAATAAAAACAAATACCACATAGGACTCGCATTTAAAAGGTGAGTGGATGAACGAATGCAGCTCATAAATTAGATGGAAACCTTAGCATCAGGAAGGTACATTCAATATATAGAAGCCGTAATCCCTTCGTTACCCTGTGTGAACAGTACGGTACTTTTTTCGCCAACACTACGCAAACCATAAAAGCTTAGAGAGTAGGGAAAATAAAAAAAAAAAACTTGATCATTATTACAATAAAATCGGAGGAACAACAAGAAGAGAAAGGAATATTGAAAGGATGAAGTCGTAACTACTTACCTCAAAAATAAATAAATAGACTACTACATACTACACAACTACTTATCGCAAAATAGCCAGAAAATAACCCTCAATTGGAAAAGGTTGACACTTTTTGACCTTGATCACATGTGGAACTTGCATGCAAACTTTGTGATTAGAAACCCGTAAATAGCACAGCTTAATTTATATGACTACATTGCGATTAGTGAAAATCTTCAGGATTAATAAACGAATTCAACAGAAACAGGAATGCTATGACCTACTGTATAAGTTTATAGGCTCGGATTCGGAGAGCAACTGACCGCTGCCAGGTTGTCACTTCCGCTTCATATTTAGCATTTTCATAGTCTTGATCATAAGAGCACCCTTCTTTGCCGGAGGCTTCTTCGGTCCATCTCTGTTCATTTTAGCGCCCACTGTCGAATTTTTATTCACTACAGCTTTCGGAAGAGCAGCCAGTGCATCTTTGCAGCCTAAAGAAACAGATCAGAAACAAAGGAATTTTTAGTTTCAATTCAGCAAACAAACCTCCAGTTTCGAATATTTTTCTACGAGCGTGGGACACTTCTATAGCACTTGGTAGAGGTTTGCTGCTCAGAGTGCCATGCTGGATTTGACGACGTCTTATGTAGCTTGGAGCAGCTGCATCGGCTAGCATCGCCTGAGAAAATAGTAAATGAGGGAGAACGAAATTTGATCAGTTTGTGTCATAAGAGAAATAAAAAAACACACTTTCCGAGGCGCTTTGGCGGAATCAGCTTGATGGTGCTTCCCAATGCGCTGGCTAAGCAGCTTCAGTTTCTTTTCCCTTTCCTTTTCCAGGAAAGCATAAAAATCCTTCCACGAGTCGCCGTCATCCGGTTCTTCTCCCGGATACTTCTTCGTGACAAAACGCTGCCATAGTTCACCAGTGTCCTCTTCCAGATACTGAAACATACGGAACTATCTCTGAGCTGTTGAAGGAAGGGTTCAATCTAGAGGTGATGCTACAGAGTTTTGAAACGCTGTACAGTTCTTCGGAAGTCTCAAGTGCCAAAATCATCCAATTCTTCCTTACTCTTTTTACTCTCCTTCATTGTGTGGCGAAGAAAAGAAAAAAAAATGAAAAGCTTACATCGTGCTTTGACTCGATGTGCGCAAGAGTTTCTGCGTCGCACTTCTCCAGTACCGGCTTGAGCACTTCATAGTTGATATAGTCCGCATAATACAGAACTAAATTAGGTGAGAACGACACTAAAAAACTTACACTGACGGAAAACTTTCATGAAGATTACCCCGAGTATTGTTAGCTAAAACACGGAGACAGAGGTTGAAAAGAGATGGCATGGAAATAGTGGTAACTTTTCGTCGACCAGCAAAAACCTTTCCGCGCTCATTGCGAGGTTTGAACATATTCTCCGGGTTGAAATCGTCTTCTAAATAACGAAAATCAAACAAATTCAGTTGATACCCTCCAATGATGAACAACTCACGTGGAGGAGGTGGTGTCTTATTTGCAGGACGAAGAGCTTGCGGGAGAGCTTGCGGGAACGGTTGGTAGTTGTTGAGCTATAACAGTTCTTGACAATACTTATCAACCCAAAACGAAGCTTTCCAGAGATAAACGAAATAATCCAGGATTCTGCAACTTGCTCACTACTCCTTGAGATGGATTCATAAACCTCTACCTTGTTTGGATAATGAGTCACCACCTAAAGGAATTACTACGCTGTAGTAGAACTTTCACGTTCACGAAGAAGTTTCAGAAGATAGACACATTAACATTGACGAGCCCCGCTAGTCCGTTCACGAGCTCAGGGACAAAAGCTTATTCCTGATTCCAGATAGAAGCCGAAAAAACCTTGCATATCCTTCACTTGTCCCCTTGGACCTACTTAGAATTCTGCGAAATAAGTTTCCAAAATATTTTCTTAAATTATTCTTTGAATAATCGCTAAACAACTTTCCTCACATCTCCCATATCATTCATTGAATACTGTTTCACAGATGCGTGAATTTTATATCATTAAGAGAAAATCTCGTTCAACTCACCAAAGGCATTTCTGCCCATTTCCAGTGAGGATCGCGCGGTTTACGGCTTTTCGTTGGCGTTGTGTCAGCGCTTTGCAACATCATTTCGAAATCAGTGGCAACTTTCTGAAATGAAGAGACAAGCAATTCAAGAGAATATACTTCCGGGAGTGGCGGAGTTTGTTCCCAAGTTTCAACAATCGCAAGAGCTGGACAATTCCCAAGTTTCAACAATCGCGAGAGCTGGACAAATGCGGTGATGATCTTGCGGCTTTGCTTCAAACTGCTATAACACCCATGGGAATGTGCCGCATTCATTCAAATCCAATTAAGCGTAAATTACGCACTCCAATCACCCGTTGAACTTCTGGGACTCATCGCAGGTGTGTGTGCCGCCTACGCACCAATGGTTGATTCAATGGTTTATTAGAGTGGAGTCGGGGAAAGGAGGGAGGGAAGGNGGGGGGCACTCCGCTGCGCTCTACTCTTGATGCCAAGGGCTTAAGCGCAGAAAAGGATGAAGCGCCAGCCGTGCGGGTCCACGATGGTTCGTAAAAACGATTCTGGGTTAGCGGATAGAATCGTACAGGAAATGCAACAGTTCGAGAGTCGTGATTTCACAAACAGCTGCTCTGCACCAAACTTTCCTTTGAGAGTTAGGATTGGCTACTTGCAAGTAAACATCAAGGAGCTTTGGCTCGAATTCAGCTTTCTAAAAGTAGAACACTCACATTACGTTCAGACGATTTCTCAGACTTGGATTTTGACGAGGAGGAACTATGAGACTTGGGCTTCGATGATTTTTGTGTGCATCCCTCATATGAAGGACCACTTTTGTGAGACTTCTCGCTGCGAGACGAAGACTGTCTAAAGACACATTTTAATCTCACTACAACTATGTTGGCAAATTCATATCTAATTTTACCTGTTGCTCGGTGACGAATCACCTTTCTCGTCTACAGCGTCTTCATCCACATCCTCATCGTCTGTTCTGAAGCTGACAGTGCTCTCATAAATTATATAACAATAAAGAAAGCTTAAAGCATACCTTCCAGAAAAGTCGTCGCTACGCCCATGATCATCGCTGCTCTCCCCCTGTACTCGTTCCGGGGCCATGTAACTGTCTCTGCCAGAATTCTTGTACTTAGCGTCAGAATGGTCATCGTAGTCACTGCCCGCTGTTCTGACACCTTCGTAAGCCTTCCGTTTGCAGTGGTTTTCCTCTTCGGCTTCTCTTACCTTCCTTTTGCGATCATTGCCATCATGATGGCGACTTTTGTGCTGACCTACTTGGTTAGGTTTACTACCCTCACAGGAACTTCTTCTGTCATACTCGTCACGATGACGCCGTCTACGCTCATCGTCCTCGTCACCACTATGCATTGAATGTTCTTCGCCTCGTCGATGGGAATCAGAGCGAGATTTTTCCGTGTTGCCCTCATTTCTCGAGCTACCTGACCGGTGACGCTTCTTGTCATCATCGGGCCTACTACGAAATTTCTCTCTGTCACGCATTTCAGAATCGCTTCTCCGACTATCACTTCTTTCTCGCTTATGCTCATTTCTTTTGGTGTCATCATCGCGATATCTTGATTTAGCTTCATGAGTACCGTTCACCAGACCCATCCTCTCGGTTGGTGGATCGTGGTCCGCGGATTCCTCACCTTCGGAACTAACGTCTTCATCACCTCGAACACCGCTTTGCCGGGCCACTTCCTTCCACTTCTCAATAATCCTCGAGGCTTCAGGACCGTATTCTGGATCGTCGCACAATCTGGAACAATGGAATTGATCGATTAGAGTCATTAGGAAGAGCTTCAATAGAATCGGTGACTGAGAGACGCCTTATTATCAGGCAGCTCTATTTTCAGCAAGCTATTTCGTAAATAATGATCTTCGTGCAAGCAGCTTCGTTTATCACGTCAGCTCGATGATTCCCCCTCTAAATACGATCCCCATGCCCAAAACAAGTTCAGAGGGCTGAACAGTGAGGAAGGAAGCAGCAAAGTACGGCCTGAGCGCTCTGATAGACCTGGATTTGGCCTTCATGTGTGCAGAGATTTAAGTTAGAGAAGAATTATTTGAGCAAGACATTTTTGAAATTATTTAACCAAAGCTAGTATTGAGTAATAATTTGTTCTATAGTGCATGGTTTTCTACATTCGAAGGAAAATCATGAGAACGTGTAAGAGAAAGCACAAGAACAAAATGGAAGAAGGGAAACAAGGTTCGTGACACAAACATTATTTAAAAAAGTTCAAGATTTCCATCTGTTCAGCACCACCAATAATTAGGTAGCGCAAGATAAAACGGCACAATGTCGACAATTTGCAGCAGATCCTCTTTCCAGGGCAGTGATGGGGCAGAAGAATCCATGGCTCCAGCCAGAGCTCAATTTGCATCTGTGCTTGTCGTATGCACGCCATGGCTAACACAATTTCGACAACCTTGTTATTATCCTCCACGATGGCTTCCTATGAAGCTCGACATGACCAATGTATGATGAATTTGTTGGATCACCATACAGCATCCGTGCCGAGATTTATAGAGATAAGATATATCTCCATTGATGTTGTTATTTTTTGTTCTATTGTTTACCAGAGATAAGCAGGAAACAAAGAAAAAGTGGTGATTCATGATATGAAGTAATGTTATTGGGAGATGAATAGTTAGAACGAAAAAGCTATGAAAAATAAGTCTAGTAAAGGGGCTTCTGTATACTACTAAACGATTGTTTTATTTAGGTGAATCACAATTTTTTCAGAAATGAAGCTCCAAGTGCATTGGGGATTATAACCATGTACAAATCAGGGAAGTGTACATATCACTCCAGAACAAATAGAAGCGGTGATAAAACGAAATCCAACGTACCTGTTGACATAACGACCGATATTTGTCGCTGACAAAATATCTAGAGTCATTTCAACATCGTTTAGCCGGCTCAGAACATGCGCGATCTGAAACCTCATATTTTTTGGCGCATTTGAGAAAAAATTCCTTTCGTCTCCGTGCAAATAACACCGAAAAAAATAATAATGCACATAGAATTATGAAAATCTGTGTGGTAAGTAGCTGTTAACCTACCTTCTCCTTCTTCTTGATTAATTTCCCATACTTTATCACTTTGTAGAGTAGCACATCGTCCTTAGTCATGCCTCGCTTAACGTGTGACGATGCCTTCATAAAAAGTCGATCATTAAATATTGATTAAATGAATAAGTGCTACAAAGAATAGATGTCAATGACAATTATGAGTATTTATACATGCGGATAGTATCTGTGAGTAGCCAACAGAGCAGCAGCAGCGCTGAACAAACGGTCACCACGCTGTGGTCGCATATCGATCAAATCAGTTCCGTGATGCACCGCAACCGCGTTACCAAAGACAAAATAGAAGTAGCTTGTGAAAGATAAAGAAGAACAGAGTTGGAACTTAAAAAATAAGATACGATCAGCCAGGAAAAGAGACTACAGTTTCTTAAAAGTTTAGAAAAACACATCAGAGCCGCAATATACATCGGACATAATATATGAAATGCCTGCCTGATCTGAAATTCTGAGCGAAATCCATTATGTCAAGAGGTTTTAGTAGACAAAACTAATTTAATGGAAGACGAGTAAATTTTCTGAGCCCTCCTATTCTAGTATGCAGCACGAAAAAAGGGTGTTATTCCACCCGGAGCTATCATATTGGCGACAGGGATTCCGGAACAACAACACCTCCAGAACATGAGCCAACACATTACAAGCTAACAAAAGAAATTAATCGATACGACCGAATGCGAAAAATGTATGGTACAGGACTAACACGGAAAATTAAGAGTTGAAACACGGCTTACATAATAAGTAATCAGAAAGCTGTGAAGAGCAGTCGTTTCTTTAATACAGGCAATTGGGAGGTGAGAAATCAAGATGCACAGCTGCCAACAACCACCACAACTCACGAAACGCGCGTCAGATGCAGAACATTGGCGTGAATCGGCCCTAGCGCATTTGGCGTGATAGCTTTGTGCTGAAGTTTCCAAGCGAGTTTTGCATGAACATTGTGTGTTGCTAGTCATCTGGCTTGGATCTTTATATAGCCCTTTACAAAACGTATTGCATGGTTTTATTGTTAGTTGTAGTTTGTAGCTAGTTTTCTAGCTTTTTACCTTGCTATTAAACTTTGGAGTTCAATACCATGGAAACAGGCCTGAAAATCGCTATCATCGATTCTTTAGTGTTCGTGTGCATGTGCATACTTCTTTGGACTTACATATCGGATATCAGCTTACTCTTGTTTTAGTAATTTTGCCTTTTCAATGCATGATTGAATGGTCATGTAGAACTTCATTTGTTATTCTAAACGTGCATGTACAATAGTTTTCTTTTGTCTGTCTAACAGCATGTGAGCATGTATGCACTGAGTCCTTTGTCTTTCTAACAGCATGTCAGCATGTCTACGTTGCTTACTTTGCTTGGCAGCATTTCCAGCCATTAAGGTTGTATTGACCGGCTTTCGCTTTGGGCATGGCTGAAGATGCTGACTACTTTGAATCTATTGTGGCAGAGTTCGAGTATGAGGTGGAAGCAAGCACCTGGTTAACTATTTTAATACCTATACTTTTACTTTTAAACTTTTTCATTCATTACAACTGTTTTGCTACAAAATGTGTTCAAATCCATGCTATTAAACTTCCCATTGCATCTAAATTCTCCCATTTTGCATCTTATCAGAGGTGGGCTTTATTCGCGCTCTCTCCGAAACTCCTAGTATTTATAAAGAATCGTAACTACCTTGTGCGCTCATGTTTAATAATGTTTATTATTCTATTTATTTATTAACTGCACTCGTGTCAACAGCTATCTGTGTTAGTTACCTCTAACATAGAGAAGCAAAACAAAAGAAAACATTAAGCATAAACATAACAACATTTCGAAAGCACCATCTCTGCATATCATAGTGAAAGAAGTAATGGCAATGCTCCCTTCACTTAGCCGAATCAAATGAGAAGTGGTCGTCAAACAAAAACGGAACGCCCACAATGTGAAGGATGCAATGAATTGCACCAATCCCTTGAATAGGAAGGGTTATGTGGTGGCGCAACAAGGCGCACGGTCAGCCGGGGTGATGCAATCGGCCGCAGCGTTCTCGGGCGGGCCAAAGTAGTTGCCTCCTTGAACACGAACCCCGAGGGGTAAGGCCCAGATACCTATTGATCTGCGCCATCTTGAGCAACATTGACTTAGTAGAAGTGGGCACGTCTGCCTCATGAAGAAAAACGCAGGCGCGCACACCGGGTCTAACGTCTACTCCCCGCACGGTGTGCGCCGCACGCGATCGCGCCCTGCCGCGGGCCGTGGTAATTCGGGGAGAAGTTCCGTGACCCGTGCGCACCAATCGAAGCGGGCGTGGAAGGATATTCGAATGGGAAGCTTGACTTCTTGAAATTAATACTTCTACAGGAAAGATAATGGAATGCTTTACTCAAAATTGGTGAGAAGCACAAAAGAGCAAATGGATGTTGACAGTACACAAAAAACGAAGCAGCAAGATAGTGTGACAAAAGAATGCCAGCTTCTCAGTGTGGCAACTAACTATGCCGGATTAACTGGTACTGAAAAATGTCATACAGATGGCCTTGTATAACAAAGTACATAAACTTTACTGAAGTTCTCAACATCAGTGCGTTCCTGTACTATTTCTTCAACTTGCTTTTGAAAAACAGACTATTTCCCGAACGCAACACTTTGCTGGGAAGACATTGAAAAATCATGTATATTATTTTTAAACTTGAGGACCCGTTGTTTGTTTGTTGGGTCCTTCAGGAATTTTTTGTTGAAACGGATCAGTTCCTGCTTGCCTTACTACTGTGGTGCCGAAGGGTGTGATCAGAGATTTCCTCCCGTTTCTGTTGGCAATCTTGTGGCCCCTTAGCTCCGACATCCTAAGATTTTGGTTTCAAGGGTGTCCCCGAGCATGAATTTCTTTTTTCTGTGTTTGGTTGGATTCCTTTATCAATTCAATGCATGCGTTTTGAGTCAATGTGAAAGTCCCCTTCATTCTTGTCATGTGTCTCAACAGGAAGAGTGTTTATGGATTAATGGTTCCAACCCATGCTTCCGTAACGACGATTTAATGAAGTTCATTTTGAAATATCTATTTTGACATTCCATTTAAGTCTTGTTGCAGCTTTAAACTAACGCTTTTTGCATGATTTTGATTGCCACACCGCCATCTGGTATGTGTTTCTATCCCACAATCCTTATATCTAGTATTTACGTACTTTAATTTTTAATAATAAAACATTTAAAGGTCATATTCATATATATTCAAGATGAGCTTACCTATATAGCTCTCTGTCTAATATTACTCTGTTATTGCTGTGACGAATACGTTCGCATGTCAGCAGGGTCATCACGAATTCTCGCCAAAAGAGTTCCGCAAAAGGTTAGTAACATTTTGATTTTTTTATTTGTTTTACAATTCCTATATGATCTTACTTTAGATCTGTGAAGTAACCGAGGACGTGCAAGACTGGGAAAATCATCTAATACTGCGTGTTCCTAATGATGTGGCCCCAAGGGTGAGACTTCGATATTTCACACCTTCTGTCAACTGTAACTGTGAGTGCAATTATAACCAAAATAAAACCTTTTCTTCGAGATTTTGCGCTTTGAAAATCAGTGCTTGTTAAAACGCACTTGACGGTGTATCGCATGAAACTTTGATTTGTGCATATTGCAAAAAACAGGACAGCTCAGGGCAAGCGACCAACTGAAGTACCAAGAAACGATGGAGAGCCGTGGAACCTCTACAAATGCAAGGTAACGACAAGGTGCCGTTGACGAAGAAGATGGCGAGATAGGAAGAATGTGGCTTTACGAAGACGTCTCGAACTGTTTCCAAAATAAATATATTATCTGATTTTGCGCATTTCAAGGTTCCAGGTAGCATACCTGCGTACCACTTTCGAACACCTACCGCTTTGCGCATTTTTTTTTACCACGGACTCGGATTCCCTTTGCTTGTTATTAGAAAAGGGTTGTTCCATCGCAGTTTCTCCCTTTCAATCACAGTATTGATCGGATCAAAAGGCTCTTTAATTTGTGCAGAGCTTCGATGGCGCCTTCGAAGTCAAGATGAAGTAAGGAGCCGTGGTTGAGTCTCCGAAAAAGTTTTAAGAACCAGTTGATCGTAGTGGGTATTACCAGTCATTTTCCAGTTGCGTCTACCACTGATAGGAGTGAGAGAAATCGATTGAGTTGCCTTTGCACTTAGGTTCAGCATTAGTCCACGTCCTTCACCGTTACGGTAAAAGGATTGTGGAAATTTGTTGATGATTAACGTTTCAAGAGCGGTTTCCGGAAATGGTAGTCGACGGGTTGTCTTGGGACGCCGTGGCAGTGATTTCTTTTCGTATCTCTTGGAAATGACTCAGCAAACGTTATCGCTGTTGTGGACTGTCGTGTTCATTCAGATATTTCAGTGCCATATTTTATTTGTTGTGATGTTTTATTGAAAGTTTAGGTCGATGCGATGCTTGCTGATAATCATGGAAAGGACATTGATGATCTGGCGATACAGTTCACCTCTACGGATATGCGACATGCTAATGTCCGTATAGGAACACATATCATGAGTGCCAAGATCTATGATTTGCCCTGTATCACTGAGGTAAGAATTTTGTTGAATCATGTTCCCTGTGGTGGTTGAGCCGCTCGTGCAGCTCGTGATGTGTAATTCAGATTATGAAAATGATGAGTAATTCAGGTTATGAAAACACTCGATAAGAAAACTCTTTACAAAGTTGCCGACTTGTCTCAGATTGTTGTTTGTAGTCACGAATTGTGCGCGGTACCTACTGAAGTGGTCAAGTTGGGCAGTAAGAAGGCACGTCTGTTTTATTTGCTCTTCTCATTTCTTCAATAATTTTCTTGCATAGTATTTTAAGGTTCACAGATTGCTCATCCATAGCTAGTAGATGTGAGATTACAATGCAAGTGCTTGCATGTTGGTTGGGTAGTCCTCAATCAAAAGGTTTGAGCGATTTTCCAAAACCAGATATAGAATTTACTTAGATGGGCTTAATCTTAATCTTTTTGATGTTGTTATTGATTATAACAAGTCAGAGATTAGAGAAATACTTGTTATTTCCTTTTTTGCCACCCACTCTAGCTGATTATTGATGAAAGAAACAGAAATTGATAAAGTTAAATCCTTTTATGCTTGATTTCATTACACATCGTACATCATTTTTGTCATGTTTCTACATATATATTCTTGCGAATTACTCATTGTTCTCGATAGCATTCGATCAATTTCCATTTCAGACCTTCCATTAGTCACTGAATTT